TTCGCAAAATCTATGTTTTTAACGAATATCCCACTGGAAGCATGTTGATGTAATTTGATACTTTCCCCACACCCCCTCAGGCGCTACATTTTTGATGAAGCACGTGACCAGCCGCAGCCAGGGTCTTTCCCAAAGAAAGATCCTGGGTACGAGGTTGTCATAATCCTTCATGATGCTGATCAACCAATCAGATTTCCCGTCCACCAGGTAGACGGGAATCCTACAGTTTAGATAGGTTTTGTGTCAGGCCCTATTCTGTGATAGGGCCTGAACTTCAGGTTACCGTTTGTAATACAAAATGACTGAAAAACAGCAAACTTCGCAAGGCTATATTATCCGCATTTTACAACATTTCCCAACGAAACTTTGGAATATTACTAATTTTGTGATGCTCTTTCAAGCTGTGATGAAATTTTTGTCTAGATCAAAATTTTTATTATTATAAGGGGAAAGGTCCATTTTATAATTTAGTATTGCATATATAGACTATACATTAAATTTTAAAATAATCAATTGTCTACAAGATTCCGCAGTTTTTGCATTTAACTGACATTGGCAATAAAAAATTAGTTTAGTTCACTTCGAAAGAACTTTAAATACTGTATATATTAAACTCTATTACAGATTGTATACATCTTGCTTAGTTTTCAAAATATTTCGACTGAAAAAAGTGCGCTTTTCGCCATCTGGGACAATCGAGGATATCCATGTTGCGTAAAGAGAGGGGTCACGCTAACTATAGAGTAAATGAATGCGATTAATATGATGGGTCCAAAACGTCGTATCTGGTTGCTGTCTGAAATTTAGAAATGATTAAAAACATTTCAAACAATTTTGGTGATTGTTACTCGGTCATTTTAGAGTAGTTTTATATGCCAGGTGATCTCGGAGCTCGGAAAAGGCATGGCACTAGTAGTAAAATAGTAATCCATGTCTGATTTTAAATTACTCAGTATCTCATTAACGATATTAGATTTCTATCTCAAATTTGTCCTAGATATTCATTTCTTTGTGCAAGACACAGACACAAAGTTTCAAACATGCAGTTTCACAAAAGAATCAGGGCATGACAAGTGATTAAAGGTACGAAATAAAGTGGATTTCTATTCTGTTGCCAGTCCCAGTCCTTTTACTCACCGTCAGATTATCTGGTGGTTAACCCAACTACTGACGTCATCCAAACCATAGTTAATGAGGTCAAGAATTAGAGATCGGAAGATTTGGTCTGAATATTCCGAGAACTAAGCAAGATGTGACAAATCGGCAATTGAGTTTAATATATAATTTTACGAGTTCTTTTGAATGAGACAAATTAATTTTTCATTGCCAATGACCTTTAATTAACTAAGTACACACCATTTTAACGTAATTTTTCAAAACATATGATAGCGACTTCTGTTTACAATATTAATCAAATAATTAGCAGTTTTCCAAATGCAGTAATTTAATAACAAAGTCTATTAAATTAAGATGAACCTGACATGCTGTTCTTTTAAGCTAATTTACTTGTTTAATTATCCCATCTTTTTCCTGACGCGTCTTTCCATATATCCCCATACACGCTTGCTACTATACCTGTAGGTGTAACGATTATTGAATTATCTGCAATAATTCTCTTGCTGTGGCACATTACCTGACCAAGTTCACTTCCCTTCTTGTAAAAGACAGACACGTGAGGATTGTTTGACGGAAAGTGATCAAACTGCCCCGGTCCGATGATTGTAAACCCGCATGTTTCGCGAAGTTTCTTCTCGAAGTACTCGGTTTTATTTTCGTACTTCAACTTACTGTTGCCCGCGACGTCAACTGTACCGGTTATCATTTTGACGCCAAGTTCTGCCTCAAGTTTAGTTTCCGTGGATTTTATTTGTTGTTGATTGTCGTCAACTCGTGCAAAGATTTGGTATTTTGTGGCATTGGCTATATGCGTGTTTTTTCCCGGAAGACGTACTTTCCCCTTCTTTGCTGACATTGTAATTGTACCTGTTAAACGACAATGAATACCCGAAGTCAGCCAAGACACAACTAAGCTACGTTATGCATTCACGATTTTTTTCGTCCATGGCCGATAGAAATAATAGATATAAGATGCGTACTTGATCACTATAATTATCTCTCCACTTTTTCTCATGCTGAGCCTTTTAAATCCGCCATGTTGAATTTGACTAGGAGTGTGAATAACAAGGTATTAACAAAGACTAAAGTTTTCATCATTGGAAAGTTTTGTTTCGCTGTCTAATTTGCAGTTTGAAGATAGATTTCAAAGTATTTAGTTATTTTAAAGGGCTATGGCAATAAAAATTAACTTTGTAAAGACTGAACTTTTAAGGTTAAATATGAAGACGCTTTACAACTTTTTTTTACCTTGTTTGGTTTTCGAAATATTTTGATAAAAAACAGTGTGCAGTCCGCCATCTTGGTATTATACTAATTGACCTAACATTACAACATGAGCTCCACCTTTGAATTTACTATATGAGTAAATTCTTAAACACGTCCGAATTTATCATTATGATAAATTCGCGGCACATATTGAATTTATCAATAGAGTTAATCATAAAACCACAATCATTGCACAAGGTTTCTTGTAATAAATGTAATGACACTAAAAAGGAGGCTGGTCGCGCAGGGGTGGGGAGTTTTTCAAGTTTTTAAAAAAAATAGTTTTTAAAAAGTTTTAAAAGAGTTTTAAAAGAGTTTTAAAAAGCCAGAAAAGTTTAAAAAGTTAGATTTTTAAAAAAGTTAAAAAATTTAAAAAGTTAAAAAAAATAGGGTTAGTGGTTAGGGGTTAGGGGTTAGCGGTTAGGGTTGGGTTGGGGTTAGGGTTAGTGTTAGGTGCCGCGAATTTATTATTATGATAAATTCAAAATTTGCCGCGAATTTATCATAATGATAAATTCGGACGTGTTTAAGAATTTACTCATATAGTAAATTCAAAGGTGGAGCTCATGCTGAACATTAACTGAATTTTTGATGACGTCACAAGCAGGGTAAACTTGTTAGGGTAAACTAAATGTGGGACTAAATTTCTTCTAAAAGTTTCTTAAAATATTGTGAGTAATTGAGTACTAAAAAGACTTCGGAAAATCAAGTTTCATATCGATAATGACATGTGGTTTGCAGTATAAAAATTTTGCCTTGTACCCTACTTGTGACGTATGTATATGACCGAACGCATGTCCAAGATGGCGGAAT